ATAAGTCAGCCAAAATTTTCACCCCATTTTCTTAATATTTAAGTAATTTAATTTGATAAGTCAGTTTACTCAATAAGTTGGTCATATGAGCTCACCCCCACATGACCAACTTATTGAGTTTACATATGTATTTACAAGAAGGTTCATGTGTTAATAATAAGCTATTTGATAAAAAAATATGCAATGTAACTATTGGGATAGTGACAAAAATTTATGATGAAGAGAATGTCAAGGTGACCCTTCCTACATAAGCAAGGTTATCATTCAAAGAGAAACATCTTATTTTGAATTTTATGGTAAGAGAGCATCAAGGAATCAATTCCTCTTCAGAATGCATTTGCTCTGACTGTTCATAAAACTCAAGGATTGACCTTGCCACATGTAACATTGAATGCTGATGAAAGTATGTTTGCTGAAGGACAAGTGTGTGTTGCAATGAGTCAAGTTCCCTCATTGGAAAAACTGCAAATCCTTGATCTTGATTATTCTTAATTAAAAAATTTCCAGGATGGTTTTGGAAGAGTATAAAAGATTGGAGGCTGTGAGCATTGATAGGTTGCAAAAACTAACAATGCTGTAAAAGAAAATATGCTTTGTAAAAAATTGAATGTAATTTATAATCATGATGTATTACACTGATGCTTGTGTGATGTGATGATTACACAAACTCGCTGCAACCTATTAAAATCTTGTTTATTACAAATATTTTTACTCAAAACTTTTACAATTGAAAGTATGTCGACTACTGTATTCAACATAATTTTGAACTTTATGAAAGATGAGCCAGTAAAACATATTACAGCAGGATCGGTAATATATAAAGGCACAGAAGATGACCAAACAATAACAAAAGAAGATCTCTTTAAACTCTTTAAATTGATGATTGATGCAATTCAGACCATGAAAAATATTGCTGGTGGAGATTTTGAGCACTTCAAAAAGATTTCTAACATTCATTTAGAGGTTAGTTATGAAATCTCTAGATCATTGTATATATGTATATATATGATGATGACGCAGATATTGCTTGACAATGTCATAATAAATACCTGAACCTACAAGTACAAGTTGTGTCTTTGAACATTGTGAAGGGTATTTCAACCCTGTAGGGTGATATTTAGATAAGTTATTGTCCTTGTGGCAGCCAAACAAGGATGGTAGCTTTATATTCTGTTAATGCACACATATGAGGAATAAATAATATATTATCAGCCTAAACTAACAAAATATTATTCTATGTTGGTTTGACTGTGCCTATGAAACTATCTGTAGTTTACATGATAACAAGGCGTTGAAGATGGTATGGCAAGTCACCTTTGAAATAATATCTATGAATATAGGCTAATATATATATTTGTAAAGAGTGAACAAGTTCCCCTTGATGATAATATGATAAAGAAAAACATAAGATATTTACAAGGAAAACTTTCGAGCGATTCATCTTCCCTTTCTTTGGAACTTTATCAAAATGTGAATAAAATTCCTATTACAAACCTAACTTGGAAAGACCCTCTAGCCAGTCGGGTTGTAAGTGAAGATTCAATCATAGTAGAAAATTTATCACCTAAACAGAATGAAAAATATATGGTAAGACTTTGCTTTTTTTTTGCTTTAGTTAACATTTTAATTAAATTGTTGACCCTTTAACAGAAACCAGCTTGAAACATGATTGTCATGCTCCCAAACTCTATTAAAGATAAATGTCATGAATTTGTATCAGGTTTTTCAAAAGAATACACAAAAGATTTATTTGTAAAACTTACACATGATGGGGAATGGAAAGAGATGGATAAAACTCTTATGGATGTTACAGGGGGAATTCTTGATGTATTGTAAGTAATTTTTATGATGGTTAAAGTTCTTACATGATTCCTTAAATTGCTAATTTTATACTATTTAATTCGAAAGGGCTGATGTTTGGGTGAATCTGCCATTTGGGTCAGAGCTCATGAAAATGCAAAGTGAAGGAATGTATGTAACAGATATAATAATTCCTTCAATTCAAGCATCATTGAAAGGGCTCACATATAGACAATTTGCATTTATCAGCATGTAAGTCATTTCGTTATAAATGTTGTTCTATTCATCACTACTAAAAACTCTTTTTTTTTTTTGAAATTCACTATAGTGCAGAACGACAAAGCATACCAATGCGGGGAGGGAAGGTAAGTTATTTGAGCTTGTATTTGGCAAATGTTCATGATTATTATGTAGTGATATCAAGAATAAGGAAGATAAAATAAAATTGTGGAGAGAAACAAATGATGGCATGTTTTGGGTACAACCGGAAAAAGGCCAATTTGGTATTGTAGGAATTCAGGTAGCATGTAATGTTTTGATATTATTATTATTTCAGAACTCTAGTCAGTTGTTTCCCGATTTAATAACAAGATATATATTATAGGGACTGAGATCCAGTTAAATGTATTCATTAGGGATAACCTTGATATACATCAATATTATCATCTTAAAAAAACACAAATTCATATACAGTGATCTGAACAAGCCTTATCAACTTTACCTGAATTTGTTGAGTTATTGTTGAATTTACGGGTAATTATTTTAGTACACTAAATTTCATTTATGTGCATAAGAAAACTAATCTTATTTTCTATATAGAATATCCTGATCATTAATTTATCTTTGCTAATGCAAGTACTCACAAGTAAGATGCGTCATGTTGAAAAAAAGTACCACAATATCATCACTGCCTAGGGAAGAAATACACAATGAACAAATCAAAAAAGAGGAAGAAAGATCTAAGAAAACATCAGGATCTATTAAACATAGAAGAAGTTCATATTTTTAGAATATATTTATATCATGTATTTTATCTTCTGTGTTAATAAATACCTGCATATTTGATTGAATTTTTTCTTGGCAAAGTGGTTTGATGATATCTAATTATTGGCTGTGTTAAATTTTTTATACATCTGTTCAAATTTCGACCAAAGTAGTTGTAGAAAAATATAACTCCAAAATGCCAAACTATATCCTGCTTGGCAATAATTGGTTTTGTACTAAAAAATATGATAATAAACTTCCGACTTATTTACTGGAAATAGTGATAGATGCAGAAGATGCTTGGGTGAGAATAACTCCGTGTATCAAGAATTATGAAGATAAAGGATCATGGGTCATAGTATCTGTTAATAAAAGTAATGTCGATGAATTTACAAGTCTTCTTAGCAGAGCAGGCAAGACCAAAAAAAGAGAAGATATGGGAAGCTAAGGTAATCCATACCATTTTAGTATCTGAGTCTGATTCTTCCGACAGTGATTCAAGTAATTCTTCCTCATCTAGGTGGTTGAGATATTTCATACATATATTCATTGTAAGTAAAAATGCTGAAAAAAATAAGCCAGATCTAATTCATGCACATATTGAATCGTGATTATTTACCTCCAAATATCTACATACCTCTCCATAATCAAATATCGCATTTACGTCTTGAGTATTTCTATTTATGATAATTATATGTTCCCCTCCCATGATGTTGCATATATTTATTTCAGCATTCATTTTTTTTTTTCTTGCAAAAGTGATTGGTATGATTCTTTTATATCTATCCACACAATCTATCAGATAATAATAATAACAGTCAGACAAGATTTCATGTGATCGACATGTCTACTGTCATAGCTATGTAAAATTTAACACATCAATTTTTACTATATATTAAAATCAAAGAACTTTTTACTTGTCACTAGTACACCCACATGTAATTTTTAACAAGGAACGTGATATTTTGTACACACATTCTTTGAGATTTTATAATAATGCTTCTAAAAAAATATTATATAACAGTTATACGTAAACAGCAATTGACTCCAGTGAGTATCGAGTCCTTTAAAAAAGAATTAGACTTGAAACTTGTTACCATTATTGCTGAATTAGAAAAGGGAAATGATTGCCTCAATGATATTTTGGATGCACTCATTGTTATTCCTGTAGCAATTATAGATGTTAAAGAAGCACTCATGGATATCATTAAAGCATCCATTGATAATAATGCTAGGTTTAAAGAGTTAGAAAATGATGATAGAGAGTATGATGAAAGTTATCAGGAGAATAAAGAAAGATTGCTGGAGTATGAAGAAAGATTGTGAGTATGTAAAAAGATTTCTGGACTTAAAGTTAGAAAATGATGATAGAGTATGATGAAAGTTATCATGAGAATAAAGAAAGTTTGCGGGAGTATAAAGAAAGTTTGCAGGAATATTTAAAAAGATTCAGGGTCTAAAAATAGAGATTTGATGCAAAATTAGAACAGACCCAAAAAGACAAATGATGAGCTTAAAAAATGCTTACTAAGTTTAATGTTGAACAATATCACAAATTTCTACCTAAATGTATTCAAATCAGCAAGGAAATTCTTAATGAGGATCCAATAGTTGATTATTGTCCTCCCTTTCTGAATGGATTGAAAATAGATGCCTCTGGCAGGAGGAGATATACTACATTCAACTAACCATTCATCTTAGGTAAGAAGGAATTTTTTTGTCGTCTCTTACAATAAATGCAGAAAAATTCAAATCAAAAATTATTACATAAAAGTATAATCCTCTGACACTTGACTACGAATTTAGAATTCTTTGGAATATTATGTGTGCATTATAATTTATAATGCTGATCATTTTTGGCAAAATAATTATTTATTTGGTAAGAGCATAATAATATTTTTGTCGTATGAAAAAAATTCTATTACATAAAAGTATGATCCAAAGTAATACACCTAAGTAAGAAATTTTTCAATGATATATTTTTCGAGGTGATACGTCAAAGTGAAAATAAATTTTCGAATTGGTAATACACCAAAGTATGTTCTGATTTCTTGACCCAATTTTCAATCTGGTACACCAAAATATGATCCAACTTTTTGACATGAAGTGGTAGCATACCAAAGTATTTTTTTTTGGTAGTATGTCAAAGAGAGAAATTTTTCAGGAAAGAGGGAAAAATCGGTATTATATAAAGTGATACACAAAAGACCAAAATTTTTCAAATCAGTAGTATGTCAAAGTATCAACAATTCAAGAGGTACAAAATTTAGCGTACTTGTGGTAGTACGTCAAAGTATGATCCAATTTTTTGATAGTAAAATGACAAAGCATAGGTTGATTTTTTACATAAAGTGGTAGTACTCAAAAACATCAACTATACAAGAAAGCTTTCTAGGGATCCAAAACATAGCGTACTCATGGTAGTATGTCAAAGTATAATTATTATAGAAATATATATATTATAGAAATTATGCTTTGGCGTACTACCAAGTAGATAGATTCAGATATAGAAAAAAAGAGATACGTCAATTTTTCAATTCGGTAGTATATCAACTATATGAGAAAGGCTTCCAGAGACCCAAAACATAGTATACTCGCAGTGGTATAATCAATATAGAAATATATATATTATAGAAATTATGCTTTAGCATACTACCAAGTGAAGATAACAATTCAGCACTTTGTGCCTCATCCTCGATTGGTATTCAAATACGTCATGCAAAACCAGTTCATGAATACTATTTCGGTGCTGTGTGCCTCAACCCAGCATTCGAATGCAATATACAAGGCCAAAATACAGATTGCCAATTCGGCACTTTGTACTAGAGATGGGGGGTTTGGTTTGGTTTGGTTTTATAAAACCGGTTTTAACAGTTTGAACAGTTTGAACGGTTTTTTGAACAACCTTACACGACCCCTATTTAATTACCAAAAAAGGCAATGAATTTCATTCCTTTTTTGGAAATTCCTAAATAATATAACAAAAAAATCTTTTAACCAAATTTATATCACTAGAAAATGTTTGTATCTGGCAGGTAACCTCAAGAAACAACTTAAAAACACACAACAACTTCTTTACATGTATAATTCTACTTGAATAAAGCATTGCATTGACCACAAGGTCACACAGGAAGAGAAAGAAACCTGCATTGAATTGCAAGTAAGGGTAATTAATGACATACCAGTTCAAGAACCTTCTACTATAATTAATACAACTAGGATAAATAAAATACCAGTGCTTAATATAAAAAAATTAATGACATTATTGTGAGGGTGAAAACTACATCAGCATTAACAATTCCTGAAAAAGGAAATTTGAACAGCATTGTGGAACAGCAATCCATGATCATAAGACGAGTTACAATTGGGAAAAATTATCCACCAATCATAGAATTTCATTTTTAAAATATAAAATCAGAAACTATCATGTGGATATAAGAAAAAAGGAATTACAACAAAGGCCAAAGAAGATTTCAACTGGACAACAGCAATTTAGAAGGATGAACTATCATTGTTGTAAATGTGGAAGACCTGCAGCAAAAGTTGACACTAATGACAGATGGAAATGGGGATACAACCAGCTGTGCAATTCATGTTCAAAAGCAGAATCCTATGACATTACTTAAGAATCATGGTACAAAGCACCATGTAAAGTTTGCAACATATATACACAACAAAAGTTAATATCAATTGGCAAAATGATGCCTGTTCTGACACCTGCAAATATGCTTATCTCACTGTCACAGTGACAAACAACTTCACATGTCTCTGACTGATGTCTCTCTCTGCCATACCTCAACAGTAAAGATGGGAACCACAATTAGCAGCAATTCGATTTTCATATGCTGCTACCACAACTGCAATTCAATTTTTATATGCCATAATTAATTGAGGAGCCATCTTTACTCAACAGTAAACTAGTAATTATTGGGAAAAGAATTCTTTGCTCATACATCCAAGGATGAATGAAGACCCCCTGTTACAAAGAAGAATGGAATTAGAATAAAGAAATACCTAAACCAAACAAAGTAAAAAAATACCTGCATAATTGGAATAAAGAATATCAATACCCATAGTAGGTAAAAGCATAGTGTGAAGTAGGCAACAATATATATATTGTTACCTACTTATGGTAGACTGTTACCTACTTATCATACGATTGGTTCGTATTTTCATTGTACTTTGAGGTACGACGAGTTTGCATTTGCGTTGTACTTTTAGGCTTGAAGAATTCGTGATTGTTTTTTCATTTGTGCCCCATTCTGGGTTTATGGAAGTATCCGCATTTGCGTCATACTTTTGAGTTACGACAAGTTTGCATTTGTGTCATATTAGTAGTCTAATAATTTACTGCAAAAATGTATAAATAGAACCTCTATCCCCCAATTTGGAGCAAAAAACTAATTCATAAAAATACACATTTCTTATATCTCTATAAACAATACATTTCCTAGACAAATTGCCAATTTTTTCAATTGCAAGGATGAGGTATGAAGTAGGGATGGGTCAGTTTCGCTAATAAATGGTTTGAACTCGGTTTTGAAACCAACCCCTGGTTTTTTTTTGGTTTGGTTTTTGGAACCGTTCAAACCGTTCAAACC